GGCGGGGTGCACGGGTGGCGGGGGGAGATGCGTGTGGGGCAATGGGGGGCGGGGTGCACGGGCGCCGGGGGGAGGTGCGTGTGGGGCGAAGTGGGGGGCGGGGTGCGACGGGCGGGCGGGAGGAGGTGCATGGGGGGTGGGGGGAGATGCGTGTGGGGCAGTGGGGGGCGGGGTGCATATGGGGGCATGCCGGCAGGGTGCACCGGTAGGTGGGATGGGGCTCAGCGGGAGGGGGTGGAGAAAATAGGGGCATGAGGCATGGGTCTGTGAGAACCTGGGGGCTGCAGGCGGGCTGGGGGCATGGACAGCCGTGGGGGGTTCCTGGGCACCGTTGCTGTGTGCAGGGGGTGTGGAGAAGCTGGAGACAGGGATGGAGGTTGGGGAGCTGGGAGTGTGAGAATCGGGGGGGGGGTGCGTTGGGGGACTACTCTTTGAGGCAGAGTGTGGATGCATACAGGGGCCCTTTTTGGGACTGTGAACAAGGGGATGTTCTTGCTTGGGGACAGCCACTGGGGGCACCAGGGAGGCTGCTGATGCAGAAGCGAATGTGGGGTTGGCGCTGCTGGGGCAGCACATGATTGGCAAAGTGATTCTTTCTAATCGGTTTCTTCATTTTTTTTTTTTTGGTGTGGTGTCATTTGGGAATTTGGGGGGAGGGTTCATTGTGCATCTGACTTTGCAGGGCTGGTTGTGAAAACCCTCTCCCTTAGGGTCCTAGTGCAGGTAGTGTCAGGGCACAGGAAGCTGTCCTTGTGCTAAATCCTCCTGCCCTGCTTTGTGTATGGGATGGGCGCATACTTGGGAGCAGGTGTGCACTTGGCCTGAGCAGGAATGTTAGCTAGTGGCTAGGCCATTATGAAAGCGTCCTCCTCAGTTTGTGCCCAGTGTCACTTGGGTTGGTCTGTTGGGCATGGAGGTGAATATATTTAGCTGCAATATTGCCTCTGTAGAGAATAATAAAAGGACCTTTCAGCCCATAGAGACAAGGGAACTCCTTTATGTGGAAGCGTGGTGCTTTAAAACAGGGAGAAATTGTCATGAAATTACTGTTCTGTTCATTCCCGCTGGACTACCTGGCATTGGCTACTGTCGGAAGACAGGATACTGGGCTAGATGGATCTTTGGTCTGACCCAGTATGGCCGTTCTTATATATGTTGTTGGTTGACAGAATTAAGGGCTTATGATCATAACTTTGCTACTGCTTAGTTGGTGTGGTGGATTATATTGTCTGCTAGCCTACCTTATTTTAAAAAATGAAATGTTCACGCTTTCCTGTGACTTGTGAACACACTGTACTGTGTCTAGGTATCTTTGATTCCTGTGACAGTTTTGCATCTCTTCTAATTAAGAAAGCTGTGTCTTTCTATTTTTTTCTTTCTGGATTTGGTCTGTACTGGATATTAATCATTAACCCACTGATTTCTGTGGAGATGGGGGAACCACAGTGAAAGATAGCTGGGGAATCAGTGGAGGGATGCTGACTAGAGCAAAACTTGAATTTTCAATAAAAACAGAAATTGTTATCCACTAGCATGTCTGATTATTTATTTATGTAGCACTGAAAGTGCGCTATGGCGTTAAGAAAAAATGGTGTTACTCCAAAGTGCTTACAATATAGATGGACCATGTAAGGCTTCAGGATATCATGTAAGAAAAATCTACATGAAGTTTCATGCATGTCTGGTTAGTTCCATATTTATTTAAATTGTCGGTAATTTAGTACTGGGATAGAGACCAGGGGGATTTCTTGGTCTCTTGGAAGAAGTATATATTTGAAGCAACACTGTTAGCTTAAATTTGACTCATCGTTTACATTTTGTTAAAACAAGCTATTTTAAGTCCCCAAACCAATAAAAATGTTTGCACAATTAAAAAATAATTCCAATGAAAACAGCAGAGATCGAGCAATGATTATAACGTATATGTGTCTGGAGCCCCAATCTTGCGCAATTAAAGAGTGAAAGTGAAACTGATTTTTTTTAATTCATTGTCCAAACTGAGAAAAATGCAAAAAGTAAGCAAAACACAAATAGTGACCCACATAGCATTTGTAAAAGTACTGAATAATGTAAGGTCCTTGTAACATTGGTAAAGAAATGATTGTTAGTGAAGTGATTTTTTTAAGGTAATAGTGGTGACACTTTAAGAAGGACCCAAAGGAAGTGATGGTGGAGGCCTGAGGCCTAGTATCTAGGTATGCATCCGAAGAAGTGGGCTGTAGTCCACGAAAGCTTATGCTCTAATAAATTTGTTAGTCTCTAAGGTGCCACAAGTACTCCTGTTCTTATTGAGAAGAGAGTGGAAGAAGGCTGTGAAGAAGCTGGCTAGTTGTGTGTCTTGGGAAGAAGAGCCTTAAAAAACTTGGAATTGCTTTTCTGTGGGGTGGAAGTGTTAGTATCTCTACGTAGATCTTATTCGGGCATTACAATAACACCTTGTTTGGGTGATGCTACAAGCCAATCTCTGAAAAGCAAAGGGCCTTTGTAAACATTGAAAAGGCTCCAGGCCTTGCGTGTGCAGTCAAAGACTGACTGTAAGTGATGGGACCTTGTGGCTGGTTGCCAATGCGGAGAAATAGGAAATACATGACAGCCTGTCTGGGCCGTTTCTAGCTTCCACTGACTTCTTGGTGGTTTTTAGGAAGTTGGACTCACCTCTGAAAGTTCTAGGCAATGTCATCACTATTTCTGCCTGGAACTTTCCAGTCTCTTGCTTTTACTCCATTCTTGTGTGGTGGAAGTGGGTGAGAGATCATGCCGGTTGTGATTGGCACTGGTAAGATTTTGGTGTGTTCAGTTGTCCGCTCCTAACAATCTTGCCACTCTTAGTGGAGTGTGTGGTGCTGTCTTAGCATTCTTGGTATAATTGTTTTTGTTTTCATTACTAATTTTCTCACCTCCCCACCGCCCCCTTTTTTTTTTAAATAAAGGAATAACTTTTGCATATACTACTGTACATGCACCTACTTGGAGGTACTGTAATGATTGTTATTATTAAAATACTGGTAATGTGATTGTCACTGTACAAGAAAAACCCAGGGAGCATATTCTCTAAAAGCACATACATAATTACCGGGAGACCTAAAGGAAGGCTCTGTCTTGGAATGCCGTTTTTAAATAAAGGGCAGGGAACAGAAGTTTCACTGGTGTGGCTCAGGTGGGTGTGAGCTTCAATGAAGAGGTTGAGCGTTGGGGACCCATTTGAAAGAGGGAGTTCTGGTTACACACAGGGGTTCGAAAGTAAATTCTAGGCAAAGCAGGCCTTGAGCCAGTTAAGGCTGCTAAACTGTTTCGGTTCAAAACCCCTCATTCCTAAAATTCTGCAGAGGTCTGCTGCAGGACTGAGATTTTGTACCTTGCTCTCGACTGAAAGGGGAATCCTTTTGGGGAGTTTGAGGGAAGCTTGTTCAGCCACGTTGTGCTGTGCAAGTCTGAAAACCTCACTGCAGAATAATAATAAAATAAAAGCCACACTTTTTCCATGTTGCTTTGGTAGCAGCTGAACTTTGAGACTTGGCATGTAAATGGAGCTCTTAAAAGAGCGTGTTCATGACTGGAGGAGGGGCAATGGCCTCTTTGGTTAACAAGTTATAAGCAAGTGAAAAGTCACTTGTGAGCATGCTCAGCAAGGCATCTGTTAAGATGTTTAGCACAGCCATGTCTTCACTGTGGTGGATATTCTTCTTGTCTGTTGTGGTCTGACCATGGGCCCAGCTTAGGGCATGTGGTGGTGGGTGGTGCTGTTCTTTATGCTGCTTCTGGGATAGCTTGTGTAGGGGAGATTGTACATGCAGCACAATCTGCGCTCTTCCTCCCCCTCCCCCCCAAATCAACAAACCACCCAATGCCTTAACCTGAAAAGGAGAGAAAGTAGGGTCACTCATGAATGAAGGAGGTTAAATGAAGGGCTCAAAACTGGCTGTGGTACTCTGTTTAAAATCTGTCTTCAACAAGAAAACTAAGGAAAGCTTAGGCAATGAGGAGGGATTTATGAAAAAAGCTGTGGGTGAGGTATAGGGAAGCTTATTAAGGGAATTGGCAAACCTACTGTACCACTGATGTGTCACTAAAAATGTATAAAGACTGGAGAAGAGCAAATGCAGTACTGATCTTTGAAAAAAGGAAAGGGAGAGATCCTGGTAGTTACCACCCTTTATGTTAACTCCTATCCACCTTTAAAGTAACAGAGCAAATACCGAGGGAAAATGAACAACTAGCAGTAGCGGATTTATAAATGGATGTCTGGGGATAAACTTGTTGGCTCTGGATAGAATTACAGAATTAGGACTCGGTCCTGCAAAACTTGCTCATGCT